CTATAAAGTTCTACAAGACTGTTTTACCTCCCTTCCCTCTGTGGTGCAGTGACTTATATGCCTATTTTCTCTACTTCAGGCTAAACTCTCTATGACAGATGTCAGGCTTCATCACTGTAGCCCCAGCAGCACCACACAAAGTCCCTCCTGTAACAGACATTTAATAGGTAATTATGGAGCCAAGTCCCAGGGGACTACTTACAAAGACCATTTTCTTTGGGCCCTAATATGGTAGGCCCCAAGTAGTAGGGAATTCTCACCCAGTCTATTATAGTCTTTAGGGACAAACCACAGAGGCTGGGATTCCTTGGCTCAGCATGAGGGCTCCCCAGTCTTTCTGTGACTCCAGCAAAAGAGGTCAAGGATTTTCTGACACTATCTTTTCTCCAAGTCCCCGCTGGCATGTATTATAGTATAGTCAGGATGTTTTCCGCAAAGGATAATGACCTACCCAGGGCTGATACCCAGCCAGTACGAACCTCTATGACATAAAGTCTTACGTCTGTTCTGGTTGGTCAGGGCCTTGTCGCTGGCCTTTCCCACACATCCCTAGGGTCCAGTTTCCCTGAACTCCCTCTGAATGCTCCATTGCTTTTGTATACCCTCTTCCCTCCATCAGGCAGACCCGTATTCATCCTTTGAAGTCCAGCTGAAGAGTCACCTCCTGTGTGGAATCCCTCTGACCGCTCCTCATAGCAGAGTGAACATTCTTTCCTCTACCTTCCCCCAACCCTCTGCATACACTTGCCTACAGCACTTATTCTAGGCTGAAATTGCTTTTTGTTTCCATCTCCCCCACTTATGTGAGCTTACATTTCACTCATCTTAGTAGATCCAGCAAAGCACATTGCCTGGCAGGACAAGGAGCCCCTCAGCAAATGTTTCATGAATGAAAGAATGAGCATGACCCTTGCAAATGTCTTCCAAAAAAGAAAGCAAGGAAATCCCCCAAGGCACGTGAAATTAAAGTTCTTATTATTTTGTTATCTATATCATGTCTTGCTTTTTCAATTTAAAAATAATAATGGCTAAGATTTATTGAGCACTTGTTAGGTACATTATCATGTTAAAATCCAAAGCAACCATCTGAAGCAGAGATTATTATTACCTTGTTTCACAGTTGAAGAAATGGAAACTGAGGAAGATTAAGAAGGATATCCAGATCCACATAGCTGGTAAGTGGGCGTCTGTTTGGTTCGAACGCCTGCTTTCTCAGCTACCAGACTTTCCACACAGCCTTTCTAATAGGAATTACAGTATGAGCATTTTCCTATCTCTTTAAACTATAATGTGTTTATTATATAAAGGACACGTTTCAACACATGACTGTAGTACCTTGCTACTCAAAGTGTGGTGTGCCAACCTTGTGGCTTGTTAGAAATGCAGATCTCGGGTTCCACCCCAGATCTACTGAATCAAAGTCTGCATTTTAACAAAATCCCTAGTGATGTGTATGTACACTAAAGGTTGAGAAGCACTGGTTTAGATCAGGAGTCCACGAACAACAGCCCATGGGCCAAACCCAGCCCATCCCCCGTTTTTGTACAGCCCATGAACTAAGAATGGTTTTTACATTTTTAAATGGTTGAAAGTTTTTTCAAAATAAGAATACTACTGTATGGTATGTGAAAATCATATGAAATTCACATTTCAATGTCCATAAATAAAGTTTAATTGAAACACATTTTTTGTTACTTTCTGCCTGTGGTTGCTTTTGCACTACAATGACTGGCAGACTTGAGTAGTTATAACAGACTGTATGGCCCGCAAAGATATTTGCTATCTGGTCCTTTACAGACAAAAGTTTGCCAATCCCTTCCCAACTCTATCCCACATTCACTGCCACCAGCTCATAATGGGAGTAGGAAAAAGGGCAGCCGCCACTCGGGAAGACTAAGGAGGAAACAGTATTCCTAGGGAGAGCCAGAGTTCAGCTGAGGCCAGGGGGCTGCAGGAACTGCTGGAAGGGGATTTACCATGGAGTAGAAGTCCAGAGGGAGAGGGAATAGGGCTGAGCATATGGTGTGGTAAGACAGTGGTGGTTAGGAAGAGGAAGCACAGAGCAACGAGAAGACAGAGTCCAGAACACAGCCAGTGTGGGGAGTGAGCTCCACAAAGGCGCGTGGGAAGGCTGGCCAAGCCCAAAGATGAAAGGTCAAGTGGAGTTCTCAGCCTCAAGTTCCCCCAAGGAGCACAAGTGCAGTTGTTTCGAGACTGCTGCAAGTTGAAGAGTCGGGTGTGTCCCAGTTGTTGAAATTGGCGGACTTTTCCTGAGGTTTCCAAACTGTGAGGGTGAAAAGCCATTCTCATCCTTAAGAAGAAATTGTAAACTTGATGTCTACAGGGATGAAATTAGCTCTCTGCACCTTTATCTTGAGATGGAATCAGCAGCCTAAGTAAGGAGCTTGTTACATATGCAGACTCCCTACCCCACCAGAAAGAGCCTCATTCAGTGGGAATCTGAAGAGAACTACTGCTTCAGTGAATGAAAGAACTCAGGCCTCTGGAAGGAGTCAGCTTGAATAGGTCATGCTTCTGAAAGTGATCATTTATATGAATGAGAGATTGGTTTCTGGTTTCTGATGACACATAGGACATCAAGAAGAGGCAACAGCATTAGAATTGATGGGCTCTATCTGCTAACGCCAAGAAGCAGGGAAACGGTAGGGGGAAAGCTGCAGGCATCCGGGAAACTCGAGGAAAGGCATTAGCTAGAAGGCCTTGGAGGAGCTTGAGGACTGAAGCTAATGGTTCCAATCCAGAGGACACCACCAAATGAGACTCAGATCACACAATGCCAGAGAGCAGATACACCTGCCTCTCCCTATGACAATGAGGATCTCAAGTGATACTTGACAGATTAGGCTGCTCAGGGCTCAGGGCTCAGGGTTACCATAGGCAGGTGGCAGATCTAATATGTATTTACATTGCTTTTCTGAACTTTTAAAAATTTTACCCCTATTCCACTGTTCCTAGGTTCTTTCATGACTGTCCCCTGAATATTTATTTTCTCAGGTGCTAGATGGGGGCTCAGTGCCAATTAAATTATGACACTGGACCCCAAGGAATCTCTGACACCAGGGTAGATATGCAGGGGCAACTTATTTTTCACAAGTTACAAAAATAAAAATGTAAGTAATGTGACTACAAGGCATCGTCTCATACATCAATAATTCAGTTTCCTAAAAAAGATGGATATGGAGAAGGACAGGATGGGAAATTAGTGCTTTTTAAAATCTGCTTTGGAGCTGCCTTGCAAAAGCAGTCATCTTCTCTATTTTTCTGTGTTTCCATTCATTGAAGGAAACCATGCTGGAAACCACCACATTTGATGCGCAGCATGAAACATCTGTCCAAACTGTTCTGGCTTCTCATTGAGACATTGGTTCAGCTTTTGCAGGCAGCACCTTGCTGTCTTGAGACAAAAAACATTCCCAGGCTCCTTAAGCTATTATGAAGGGTTGCTATTACAACTGAGTGTACTTAAACGGACTCTCAGCCCACCCAGGAGTATAGGTCTGACCCTTAAGGATAGTAAGTCGGAGTCAGATCCAAGAAAGGCTGACACTCCCTCCCCAGTTATTTTTAAACCCCAGAGGCTGCTTCTGCATATGATATCACTTATGTAACTTCTTTTTGCAAAGACCCCTCTGCTGCCCCAACCCAGCCTCCACACCCATCCCTCCCCTCCCCTGTAGCATCAGCACAATGACACATGTGCTGCTCCACCCCGCTGTGAACTTGCCAACAGTTTAAGGATGTGCTCATTGAGTAAATAAACACACCAAAATGAAGTTGGCTTTTGTGCAACCAGCTTTCAGGAGTTACTTTTTGCTCCTTTAGGTTTAAAATTTCAGTGCAGTGGGATAAGAAAATTGCCCAACCTCTACTGCAAAGCTGATTAGGAATTTCCATCACTAGAAATAGCATTATGTTACTTTGGGATAAAAGATTTTTTTAATTTATACTGCAGCTTCCATGTAAGAATATTCATATTAATCTAGAACAATCCTACTGGTTTCTGTATACTGGATTTATAAATGTTTGATAAAAAATCATGTTAAAACTTTTAAATAATTTCTAACAATGACCATCCAATCCAAAAAGTGAGAACTAACTAACGGGATTTTGCTTCAGAGAACCTGGCCTATTACATATGACATTAGATATTCATCTATTTAAAAAGCTGCAAATGTCAATGAAAGAACAAAGCTGTCAAATGCTAGGAGCATTTCATTAAGAAAACAGCCTGAAACACTGATGGGATTTTGATGAAGTTGGGGACTCAGACAAGCTTTACCTGCCAGTGAGACAGCTGTTGATACTGTTTTTGTTGTTACCAAAATGCCAAAAGAGCAGAAAACAGCAATATGCTAACCTGAATTGAAATTTTTCCTTTTCTACATTTCTACTGGCCCAGTCCTATTGTAAATAAAACGTTTATCTAACTAAATTAGCATCAACTTCAATGGAAAATTGTGACATCAGTACTATAGTTAATTTGACGCCCACGGCCAGGCTAAGAGAGGAATAGAATGGATAATCAGCACATCTAGTAATTTAAAAGAATCATTTTAGCGATTTCTTTTAATGTTGTCTACAGCTAAGTGTTTCAGGTAGGGATGCTTTTGGCTGTAGGTAACTGAACAACCAAATAACAATAGTATAAAAAATAGAGTGTTCTAGTTGCTGGATCCCGCCCCAAATTTAGTGGCTTAACATTTATTTTGCTTATGAATCTGCAATTTGGGAAGGGCTTGGGCAGGGGTGGGGGCCGCAGGGAGAGGGTTGTTTGCTCTCCTTGGCATCAGCCAGGGAAGCTTGAAGACTGGGGACTGGAATCCTTTGAAGCCTGATTCACTCACATGTTTGTCAATTCTTGATGGAAATGCAGACCTGGAGGCTGGGGCAGCTGGGGCTCCTCGGGCATCTCGATCTCTATGTGGTCTCTGATGTAGTTTCTCCAGCATGGCAGCTTCAATGTAGACTGACTTCTCACATGTCAACCCAAGGCTCCCAAGCTGCATAAGAGAGAGAGGGATTGATAACGAAGCAGAAACTGTATCACCTTTTATGACTTGGGGAGTCATGCATTATTACTCCTACTGCATTCTGTTTATTGGACGCAAGTCATTAAGGCTGGCCTATATTCAAGAGAAGAGGAATTAGACTACATCTTTTGATAGGAGGAGTGTCAAGGAATTTGTAGGTATGTCTTAAAACCGCCGTGAAAGGATTTGTTTTTCCTATATGACGTCTATAGGGAAGCAGTTCTGTATAATGTGGCCCTCCTTGATATAATAAAAACCAAGGTTTTTTCTGTAATTCTGCTCTACCATTTTTAGTACATTGCTTTATTGTCTCAAAGTCACAAGATGACTGCTATAGATCCAGACATCGTAACCAAGTTTTTTGGGGTTTTTTGTGTGTTTTTTTGCGGTACGCGGGCCTCTCACTGTTGTGGCCTCTCCCGTTGCGGAGCACAGGCTCCAGACGCGCAGGCTCAGCGGCCATGGCTCACGGGCCCAGCCGCTCCGCGGCATGTGGGATCTTCCCAGACCGGGGCAAGAACCCGTGTCCCCTGCATCGGCAGGCGGACTCTCAACCACTGCGCCACCAGGGAAGCCCCGTAACCACGTTTAAGACCAAAAGGGAAAAAAAAAAAAAAAAAAGGAAGGCGTAGTGCTAGCAGCTTCTGGCTTCTTTTATCAGGAAATAAAAGACCCTTCCCAAAACCCTCCTCAGCGGAGTTCCACTTATGCTGCATTGGCTGGAACTCTGTCAGAAGGCCACCAGTTGCTTCGGGGGAGGTTAGCACAGTGACTGTTTAACTTCATTCTCTGTTGCAGAGGTAGGCAAGGGTGGAGAGATCTGAAAATGGGCATTGGGTCAGCCAAGCCTTGCTTCTGCCCGCACATCAGACCCATAAAATCATGAGTAGGAGGAGTTTCAAAGAGCTGCTTCTCTTCCCTCAGCCAAAGTTAACAGTGAAATGACCCGAAAATGGTTAGCAGAGGAAAAATGCATCAGCTAATGAATGGAATCATTTTCAACTATATATTTGCAAATAGGATTAAAAGCTAGATATTGAATTAAATGAATCGTTTATACAGTTTAAACAGGAAGCAGAATTGGGTCACCACAGGAACATTTGCCAACAAGATAGGGAGGACAAAGAAGAGCTGAGACCACTAACTTCTGATAAAATGTTACAGCTGCTTCGAAGATTACCTTGGGTTCAGAGGCCCCAGGCTAAAAATAATTTGGGGGCAGGGCAAAAAGGAACTATTACCTTATAAGCCTAACCCAAATTTTATATCTTACTTTATAAAACATTTTTTTTAGCCTTCCGTTGCCACTAGTCAATAGAAACAGGAAAAATACTGTGAGTTGATGGATTTTATTTAACCTATCTGCAACAATTATTCGAATTTAAGCTTTAAAGTTTTATAACATTTAACTAAAGAAAAAAAAATCAAAACTGCTTTCTTTCCTCCCTGCAAGCACAGAGCTCGCCAGGTCTATTGTCTCATGCTATAGTCTCACACAAGAATAAAGAAATTGCACTATAGCAGATATTTTCCGGATGCTTCCCCCCATACAAGCATTAGCACATGACCTCAATAGCTAAGACTGAAGAATGAGACAACCAGATTTACTGACTCTGATGGTGTATAGAGCTCTTCCTTGAGTAAACTAACACATTCATGAAAACACATGTACTTAAGGGCGAGGGCTGAATATGAAGAAATAATATGCCCACAGTGAGAATGCAAGTAATCTCAGGCTATAACTCACAGTGAGTTTAAGGGAATAAATGAGTGGTTAATTCTCAAAAAAAAGAAAAAGGAATAGGGAATAGGAAACCTTACCCTTCATAATGAAAGAATTCTGGCATAAAGAAATTAAATAATTTATCCAAAGTGATATGCCACATATGAAACAGAAAAAAAGCCCAGGCATTTCTATTTATAGTTTAATTTGGAATAGGAAATCATGCAGGTCTTTATTCTAAACAATGACCACTTGATTTAACACAAAATAGACACCTCTTAAAATCATAAAGCATACATTATGGGAGTTACCAATCCTTTTTTATAATCTGTAAGCTAGCACTCTGTTTTCAGTGTTTTTATCATCTGTAAAATTTAATTAAGAAGCAAAGAATAGGCTTATAATGAGCATGACTGCACATATTTCTTACTCATATTTCAAATTATAATCATATCATGATGAATCTTGATCCTCACACAGTACAACAAAATTATATATTTGAACTTTTCCTTATTAAAAAAAAATACCAATTTAAAGACAGACTATAAGTTACTTCAGGTACTCCCAAGCCACATAGCAAAATTCTGAAGTGCAGAAACTATCATAAACTTATTTTATAACTCTCCAAAGCAACTGTCAAGTTCTAGGCCTAGAATAAGTGTTTGATTCATACTCTCAAAATTACATTGACTGTTCAACATGTCTTATAAACACATATATATTTTTCATGTACGAAAATATTTCTGAGATCGAATATTCCCCACACTCATTTCTAACTAGAAATTCCCATTGGGTTTATTTTTGTTTTTGTTTTTGTTTTGCGGTACGCGGGCCTCTCACTGTTGTGGCCTCTCCCGTTGCAGAGCACAGGCTCCGGACTCCCATTGGGTTTTGAATGAAAAGGTTTATTAGAAATTACTCAATTAGGTGACAAGATTAATAGTCCCTATTAAACACTAATTTGCTTTTTATCCTGCAAAGACTACCACAGACATAAAACAGGTGTTGGCCACCCCTGGAACATATATCTGATGATAAGACAGCAAGCAAGCTGATGGTAATTTGGTACATGAGCTATTGTTCATTCCATGCCTCCCTTTCCACTGTCAGTTTTGCTAAAACTGAAACTTAACAGCAAATGCTTCTGTTTTCTACATTGTGTCTGACATCCTCGGCGCTGGTAGTTTTCAGATATGTGTGGGACAAACACACACACACTGAGTCTAGATAAACAAGCACTTAACGGGACTTCCCTGGCTGTCCAGTGGTTAAGACTTCGCCTTCCAATGCAGGGGGTGCGGGTTCGATCCCTGGTTGGGGAGCTAATATCCCACAGGCCTTGGGGCCAAAGAAACCAAAGCATAAGAAAACAGAAGCAATATTGTGACAAGTTCAATAAAGACTTTAAAAAATCATAAAAAAAAAGAAAAAGCACTTATCAAGTATCTACTACCAGGTACCAAGCTTGTATTGTAGATACAGTGCCAAAAGGGGCAGGCCCTGGCTGTCTTAATTCACACCTGAGGTCATTATTTGCTAGCTATATAGCCTCAGGATCAGTCTTTCTAAGCCCTAACTTCTTTATCTGCACAATGAGGATACTAATAATACCTACCTCATGGGAGTTTTTTGAATATTAAATAATTCATATACAGAGCCTGGTACCTAGTGAGTGCAATAAACTCTGCTATCGTCACCATCATCATCATCGTTATCACATCATGGTCTCTCAATTTTATTTGCCCAATTGGGGGAAGAGACACAAACACATTGTTCTCTTTTTCTTTTTTTTCCTTTTTTCTGCTGGGGTACGTGCAGCTCAGAGAACAGGCACTTGTCTCAACCTGGAATTCAAGGAAGGTCCCTGAGCTGAGACTTGAAAGATGAGTAGAGTTAGCCAGATGAAGGAGAAAGGTGTTCCAGAGGGAAGAGCTTGAGCAAAGTCACAAGCAGCATGTTGTGTACAGAAACTGAATGTGGTTTTCTATAATTGGACAGGAAGTTCACTGTGGGGAGTTGTAGAAAATGAGCTTCATAAGGAAGGTGAGAACCAAGTTATGGGAGGTCTTACATACCATGTTAAGATGACTAATTTTCTTCCTGTAGACCAAATTTCCTAAGCCAAGTTATATAAAGTACTTCATAGAGATATTTCATGAGGTGTTCCTCAAAATAATAGCTTTACTGTGACTTGTGCCTGGAAATATCCTCAATTTTACCCCTGCTGAGTGATTCATAATGCATACATCATCAGCATATTGAAGGCTCTGAAAAGTCCTGCAATAAAAGGGCCTCTTTATCTCAGGTTAGCACAATATTTTTTTTTTTTTTGCGGTACGCGGGCCTCTCACTGCTGTGGCCTGTTGCACTGCGGAGCACAGGCTCTGGACGCGCAGGCCCAGCGGCCATGGCTCGCGGGCCCAGCCGCTCCGCGGCACATGGGATCTTACCAGACTGGGGCACGAACCCACGTCCCCTGCATCGGCAGGCAGACTCCCAACCACTGCGCCACCAGGGAAGCCCAGCACAATATTTGTTAATTGATTTTACTGCAAGACATCATTTTTACAGAATGCTGAGGTTTTTCCAGGTTTTAATCAGAATAATGAATTAGACACTTTAGCTTAGTAAAATCACTGTAGCTAAGGAGATGGATTTCAAAGGAGCATGACTGGAGCGTGTGAATGAGATGATGATGATCCAGGGTGGAGGAGATGTAAAGATTCAAGATGTATTTAGGAGGTAAAACCTATAAGTTTTACTGATAGAGTGGAGTGAGGGAGATGGCTGTTTAGAATGATACCTAGAGTTCTGGCTCAAGCCAAAAGAATAGTAGTGCCCCTTGCTTCAAAAGGAATACAAGAAAACATGACACAGGGGAAAGAATAAGAGGTAGGTAAGATAAAGAATTCAGTTTGGGACATGAAAAGTTTGAAACACACGTGAAATTTCTGAGTGAAATTATAGGTAGCAATTAAGTCAACAATTGTTCAGCCCCAGTCTAAACCAGGGTCATCTGACAAATAATTCCCTGATCATCCTAATCGAAATTTCAAAGTTAATTTAATATTCCATTATGCATTATGTTAATTTTAACAGCATATTAGCGAATAATAAGATTAGCATTTGGTCATATTAAAAAAAATTCAGGGGCTTCCCTGGTGGCGCAGTGGTTGAGAGTCCGCCTGCCGATGCGGGGGACGTGGGTTTGTGCCCCGGTCCGGGAGGATCCCACATGCCGTGGAGC